GGAAGGAAGGAAGGAAGGAAGGAAGGAAGGAAGGAAGGAAGGAAGGAAGGAAGGAAGGAAGGAAAAGAAAGAGAAAGAGGAAGGAAGGAAGGAAGGAAAGGGCAGGGCAAAAGAAGGAAAGGAAGGGGAGGGGATGGGAGGAAGGAATGAAGGGAGGGAGGAAGGGAGGGAGGAAAGAGGGGAGTGGAGGAGAGAGAGGAAGATAGAAAAGAAAGAAAAGAAAGAAAGGAAGAAAGGAAAATAAAAACATGTGAGGTGCCACTAAAAACAGAAAAGTGTAACACTAAATGCTTTTGTCAACAAAGGTCTCAATGGTATCAGCATTCATCTTACAAAGTTAGAAAAAAGACAGCAAGGCAAGAAGAAAGAAAATAGAAAGAATCAGACTGGGAATCAGAAAATCTTTTCATAGTTAATAGGGGTTAATGTAACCATCCTATTTTATCATGATAGGTATAACAAATGAATTTCACTCAAATAGCCCAGAGAGAAAATCATTTTCAAGATTTAATAAAGCAGCAAGTGTATAATTCAACATTTTTTTACCACAGAATCCAGATTTCTCATACTTGGTACTCTCTCTAATCAGAAAAGTAATTGTTAAAATTTAAAATAATTCTTCCAAAGAGCAGATGGGCTGAAGTAAATCACATTTAAGATGAATTTTGGTGTTTCAGCCACCGTAAAAAAAGCCACTTATGGTATACTATCACTACATAATGTCTGTAACACTGAGATAGCAGCTTTCCCACAAAATAGTTTTCAAAACAAATAACCAGTTTTTGGTCTAGTATTAAATTAACTTACCAAATGGTATCTCTGTGGTGCCACTGAATACTCTACAGCAGTCAAATTGAATAAGAAAGAAAAGTCCCTCATATTTGAAGAAGTCAGTGCTGACTAAATATAAAATTGACAATTTCAAAGATTTATGATTAATTTGCTCAATCCCTATCATAGGATTGATCAGCTCTAGTAAAGAAAAACTAGTGGGAAGAACAAGATACGAAAAGGCTAAGTTTGTTTCCAAAATAAGTTATAATTTCCAAATTGAACTTCTTGACTAATTTTATGACCCATTAAAATGTAATAAATTTTTATTATAAGAAATAAATACTATATTAAACTACAAGAATATAAATAATATGAAAAGTAATACAAGTAACAAAAAATACAAAAATGTGGTGCGTACCCCATTCGATTTAAGCTTTACTCCCTGACGAGGCTTGGAGTTGAGATGAGGCAGAGAAATGGACTAAACACTCAGGATGTGTGGCCAAATGCTGTGCACATTTTTTGGTTACATACGGCACGCACACATATACACACAGTGTGTGTAGTTTATAAAAGGGATGGTTTATAAAAGAAGTAGAAAATAATACAATCTTGAGTAGGGGAGATTTGTTTTATGCTGTAAAGTCAAAAAAATAATTTACCGACTCAACTACTACAAAAATCCTTTCAAATTCTTTTCCAAATCAATAAACTGGTGAAAAGGTTTGCAATTTATCATAACAGGAAATGAGTATCTCTAAACATAACAGAAGTTCAGAACAACTTAACAGAAATATTAACAAATAATAGGAATAAACACAAAAGAAAAAAGAAATGAAGAAAGATGGTCAACAAGAAGTTTCCCCCATCAAATCAGCAAAGTTTAAAGAGACAAATGAAATCCCTCACAAGTCAGAGCATATGTTGGTGTAATGTTACCAGAAAACATGTTGGTCACAAGTTTAATTTAGTCTGTAGATAAGCAATTATTGCATTTATTAGGTGGAAAAACAGTTCTTATGAGGATTACTTTTAAAAAATACGTATCAAAACTCAGCATATATCTAGGCTTCACTGCCCTCATTGAAAAAGGAACTAGGCCGGGCACAGTTGCTCATGCCTGTAATCCCAGCACTTTGGGAGGCCGAGGTGAGCAGACCATGAGGTCAAGAGATCGAGCCCATCGTGGCCAACACAGTGAAACCCCATCTGTACTAAAAATACAAAAATTAGCCAGGTGCGGTGGTGAGTGCCTGTAATCCTAGTTACTTGGGAGGCTGAGGCAGGAGAATTGCTTGAACCCCGGAGGCAGAGGTTGCAGTGAGCCAAGATCGTGCCACTGCACTCCAGCCTGGGTGACAGTGCGAGATTCTGTCTCAAAAAAAAAAAAAAAAGAAAAGAAAGAAAGAAAGAAAAAGAAAAGAAAAAGGAACTACATAGGTCCAGTACAAGGAAGAGTAGTCATTAAATAATCCTAATCTATACCTATCAATTACAAATTACACATCTAATGTCCAAAACCACATTATTTTTAAAAGTTTATTTAAAAGAAAGACATTAAATCATCTAATTAACACTTCCTAATGTTTCTGCTGACTTACCAAACAGTATGAGATTTCTTACCATCATAGCATACTTTTAAATTGCCTATTTGCATATCCAATAAAGAAATGAAAATCAAGTATCAAACAACTACACCTACAAAAGAAAAAGTACCTTATAAATCTATTGAAAAGGAAGACTGTGCTCCGGATAACTCGTGCTGTGCGTGATTCTTCATGCTGGGATCTCGATAAACTTATGCCATCATCCATGTGTCCTTCATGGTGCATAATAGCCTGTAAGAAAGCAAAAATAAGGCCATTACTCCCAACATCTCTTTTCCAAACTAGCGTCAGGGAGATGTGTACTCAAACAGCTGAGCCATAACAATAGATAGAATAAAAAGGCAGGTACAGGGGACTATGAAGCTGTTATGTTCAGATAAAATCACATGCACAGCTCCCTATACAAACTAGCCATTCCATTTATTCATTTAGTTATTATTTTATTTTTTGGAGATGGGATCTTGCTATGTTGCCCAGGCTGGTCTTGAACTCCTGGGCTTTAGTGATCCTTCTCCCTCTGCCTCCTGAATAGCTAGAATTACAAGCCCCCACCACCATGCGCAGCTCAGTTATCATTTTCAAGAACTACTCAAAAAATGCACCGAGTCAAGTAAAACAAATAGCAGAGCCTTTTCACAAATCTACATTGAATGACTGATCCTCAGCCTAAGCGAACTTGGTACAAAGCAGCAAAGGTAACCTTGCATGGGCACACCAGTCATACAGTAGCTCTGAACACAGACTAGTCAATAATAAGTACTGAACAATGCTTATAAATTATCTAAATGATAAAGATGTACACATATATTTCTTTTCTTTTGATACCTGTTTTTGTGTGCTTTCGAACTTTCTATGAAACTATGTTAGGAAAGAGAAATGCAAAACTCTTAAGAAAACAGTTCCATGATTTTCACAAGTGAACATTCCTGCATGACCAACACCCAGCTCAAGAAAGAAAACATTACAGTATCTTAAAATCCTCCTTAGTGCTCCCTTCCTATCCCTACCCTCCACAAGGTTCACCACCTTGCAGACTTTTGACAGCACAGATCAGTTGTGTACTATATATAAGTAGAACCATTTGTTCCCGTCTGTGCTTATCTTCATGCAACATTTATAGCAAGACAATTTAATACACCTACCCAGGTGTACTGAACAAAATTTAGGAACTATAACTATAAATTATCTAGAAAGCAATGTTAAGAGGAAACTCCTTATATAAAAAAATCAGTGAGACACAGATATATCTATATTCAAAGGCAATATCATAGCCTTAAGTGCCCTCATTAATACAAAAAAATAACTAAAATGAAGGAACTTGTTACTCATTTTCATATCCTAAAAAAAGAACAGGAAAGAAAGTTGAAAAGTAGAACTAATGAAGATTAAGTGAAATTAACAAACTAGAAGTCAAATAAAGTACTAGAAAAGATGAATAAACTCAAAGTTTGATTCTTTGCAATGATAAATAAAACGAAACTCTCACAAACCAGGCTAAAGATAAAACAGAAAGCAAAAATACAGAGAATGGGAAATTATAATAATACAATACTGTGTGCAACTCCATGGCAAAACCAAAAATCATCCAAATAAAACCAATAAACAAAACTGGTGTTCCAGGGGAACAGAATAGATTCTTACAAAATAAGACTAATCAAAAGGAAAAAGATAATTTAAGATCCAATATTTAAAAGACCTAGGACCAGATGGTTCCACAGGCGAGCTGTGATAAAGCTTCAAAAAACAGCTACCTTTCATGGCAGACTAGTCTCGGCCAAGGATTGGCAAACTACAGTACATCATCTGTTTTCATACAGCCCATGAACTAAGAATGGTGTTTACACTTTTAAATGGTTGAAAAAAAGACCAGAGTAGAATGGTGTTTCCTGACACATAAAAATTAATAAACACAAAAATTGTATGAAATTCCAAATTCAATGTTTATAAGGAGAAATTAACTTCCCCCATAAATATACATGTAATAATTCTGAATAAAATATTAATTAATTAAATCTAGTAGAATTTCAAAAGAATCATACACTATGGCCAAGGAAGGTTTACTCTGTGAATTTAAGAACTCTTTAATAATTGTAAGTCTGGTAACTTATTTTATCAACAAGTTAAAAGACACAACACATGATTTTTATCTTCTTTATTAATATAATTCAGTAATCATTGCTATTTTTAAAAAGCTAAGTAAAATTGAAATAGCAGGAGGCTACTTAAACATAAAAACAATTTCAACTGTCCTCAGGATGCAAGTTACAACTTCGATAAAATAGCAGTGGAAATTCACAACAGGAAATATGCTGGGATAATAAACCAGCAGACCAGATGAAAGAACAGCAAGCTGAGATAAAAAGGTGAGCTGGGTGAGATAAGGACAAGGAAAAAAAAAAAAAAGCATGAAAACTAAAATTTTAAAGGCACAGAAAGGGCTTACGAACCGAACAGCACCAAAGAAAAAAACGAGTACTTTGGAAGACACATTTGAGCAGTGAAGTGTAGAGAAAAGGTCAGGGAGACTGAGAGGAAAGACAGCTGTGTTCCTGAGAAAGAAACCAGCAGACTAAAACGGCACGAAAACAGGAACCAAAGACATGGTTGGAAAAGTAGATTCACATACCCAACTTGTTCCAAACATACATAAAAGTTTTCCAATAATTTAAGTGTATGTTTTAAACATTTAATTAAAATTAAACAAAACTAAAAATGGTGTTCATCTAGTTGTAGTTATATACAAATACAAAATTGCCACATGTGTCTAGCAGTTACTGATTTGGACAGCACAGCCTTATACCTAGCTTCGAGTTCATGGGAATTACCAAGAGCATAGGCAATGGGGAAAAAAAGTCAGACATATCTAGAACTTGAGGTATTCTATAATTGGCATGGATTTTTTAAAACCTCGATGGCATAGGAAAAAAATAAGCTGAGAATCTGTTCTAGATAAGAGACTGAAAGGCATAAAAATAAATAAGTGCATGAATTTTGATTGTATCCTGATTTTATTCAACTAGAAAAGGTATTATTGGGACAATAGAATAAATATGAATACAAACAGGATAGTCAACGATGTAATAGAACTACCATAATGGTATGTAACAGTACTGTGGATGTGTGAATGCAAACACACACAGAGAGAGAAAAGAAAGGAGGAAACGAAAGCAAATCTGGCTAACTGTAATTGTTGACTCTAATTCAAGAGTATGTGGATGTTCATTGGTTTAGTCTTTTAACTTTTTTCATATTTGAAATTTTTATAAGTAAAATATTAAAAGAAAAAACATCTGCTAAATCTAGCAGAAGAACCATGGCCAAACATCATTATCAAAAGAAAAATTTGCTTTAAAGCCAAATCAACCTCTTCTGTCACAATTTCGACATTAGCTGTTCACCTGCAGAATGCTAACCCAGCTCGCCCTGGCTCATAATCCTGTAACGCTAATGCAGCTGAAGACCAAGTTAGCAGGTGCATGGGCAATCTCACCAACTCAATTATAACTCCACATCCTTGAAAATACATGTTTTCATTCAAGAAACATTTATTGAGCACCTACTCTGGTTCCAGCACTCTGCTAGACAGTGAAAATACATAAATCAAAGACTTAGTTCCAATCTCAGAGTTTAGTAATGAAGACAGAATAAGTCGCAATTACATATCTTTAACTCTTCCTTTCCTTTCTGACTCCCGCCCCCTCCTTAGATTGTGTTTAATTTCTGGCTTGTTGGTTTCTGGGGACCTCAAAAAGTAGCATAAGCAATTTGGGCTCAAACATGGAACAATATGGATAAATGTTACAGACCTTTTGCTGAGCAAAAGGAGGTATATACAAAAGAGTACATGCTATAGAATTTCATTTATATAAAATTCAACATCAGCTAAAAGAGAAAAATGATCACAAGATCATTTCCATGACAAAAAAAGATCACAAGAGTGGCCGGGCGCGGTGGCTCACGCCTGTAATCCCAGCCCTCTGGGAGGCCGAGGCGGGCGGATCACAAGGTCAGGAGATCGAGACCATCTTGGCTAACACGGAGAAACCCTGTCTCTACTAAAAATACAAAAAATTAGCCGGGCATGGTGGTGGGCGCCTGTAGTCCCAGCTACTTGGGAGTCTGAGGCAGAACAATCGCTTGAACCCGGGAGGCAGAGGCTGCAGTGAGCCGAGATTCTGCCACTGCACTCCAGCCTGGCCACAGAGTGAGACTGTCAAAAAAAAAAAAAATCGCAGGAGTAGTTGTCCCTGGGGGAAAGGGAGCAGGAATAACCTAGAAAGGAATGCTGGGAAACTTCTTGGAATTAGACATGTTCCACATGGAGATAAGCTTGTGGGTTAAATTCTACAGCTGCTGAGCTCAGTGGCTCACGCCTGTAATCCCAGCACTTTGGGGGGCTGAGCTGGTGGATCACCTGAGGTCAGGAGTTTGAAACCAGCCTGGCCAATATGGTGAAACCCCATCTCTACTAAAAATAAAAAAGTTAGCTGGCCCCAGTGGTGGGCGCCTGTAATTCCAGCTACTCAGGAGGCTGAGAGAGGGGAATTGCTTGAACCCAGGAGGCGGAGGTCGCAGTGAGCAGAGATCGTACCACTGCACTACAGGTGACAGAGCAAAACTCTTGTGTCAAGGAAAAAAAAAAAAACCCTCTACACCTAAATGTTTACATTTCGATGTGTATAAATATTACCTCTAAAAGTTGAAAATAAGTAACAGTAATAATCTAGTGAAACACAGCATAGGATTGGAGTTGTAATTGAAACAACAGTAAGAGAGCATTGAAAATGTTGAATGGTGAAGACTCAGGGGTTCATTACACTATTAGTTATTTTGCATAAATTTAAATTATCTATAATAAAAAGTTTTAAAACTGGCCATCTTCAATTGCAAGAAACAGAGAATGCTTCACAAATATTGAATACATACAAGTACACTTAAATGTATGGGCCTAGATCAAAGACCTAAAAACCAAGGTATCATCTTATTATAATGCTAATAAAGGTCTTGCAGAATTGTCTGAGGATCTCTATCCCAAGCTCTGAGGAAGGTTGTACCGGGATGCACTCAAGTCAAACTCTATCCCTGCAGCATTGGCCTTCACTTTCACTAAAATCAGCACTGGTCACTCTAAATAGATCACAAGAACAGTGATTTATTTAGTTACTGGAATGTGGGTATAGATTTTGATTAATAAATCTCTTGAAAATAAAAAGGTCTGTATCACTAAAGCCTTCCTTTCCAAGGTCTCACGTTTCCAGAAACAATGTGCGTTGTTATTTGGTTCTGTGCACTGTGCTGCATGTCATATGTAAAAACATAAACAATCTAGTATGATGTACTCCCTCAGGGGAGTTGCAAATTTGCAGGGGGGTGGGGGACAGGGGTGGTGAGAAAAAGAGAGATATGTAGCCTACTAAATAAAATAGCACAAGGAGTGTGTTTATAAAATGTAATGAGTTATAGATGAACAATATGAGAACTCAAAGGAAGGAGTAGCTGATAAGCTGATACAGTAAGGAAGAACTTCTAAAATGATAAATAAATTGCATCCCTGGATGATGGATAAGAGTCACGGAGACAAAAAAGGTTTGAAGGTATTCTAAACAGAAGAAACAGTCTGCAGAGGCACAGGTGTGTAAAAGCCATGGTAGTCTGATAGACTGCAAGGAATGTGTTGTTAAGTGACATGCTGGGGAAATTGAAGGCAACGTCTGGAAATCAGGAAGAGAGTAGGAGAACGGCGCAGGCCAGGAAGGGCATCATTACCACTTCCAAAAGGTGGGCCTCTTCTTGTAAGCAAGGGGATGTCAGTAACGGACTTTGTCACAGCATGGAGGACAAAGTGAACTGTACTAAATTAAAATCCAGAAGACGGCACTGTATATTTCTTCACTTCATATTTAAATACACGCATCCCACAATCCTATATATGAGTGATGTAACATCCAGCTATGTTCACCTTACAAAGCTAAAGAGTCTATTACAGTGGAATCTGCCCTTTCGCTTGCAAAATTATGAACTTTTGCAGGTGACTAAAAAGATTAGCCACTTTTTTTTGACTTGCGCTTGGGTATTTTATTCATAAAAAATGACTTCTATAAATTATGTTTTTTTCTATCATCTTACCTTACGTTGTATAGATCCCATTCTCACAGATTTCACATCCACAGACTGGTAAGTAAGCCATAGGCCCGTGTCCACATGTTGTATATAGCATACTGAGTCACCGTATTTTATTTCAGATGTTCCCATGCCGTCGACTTCTTTTCTCACCCCTACATCCAATTTTTCCTAAGGAGAGAGGGGGGGGGAAAAGGTCAGTAAACATTTCAAAAATACTAGTGTATAGCAAAAGAATTTTGCCTTATTGTAAATGTGTTCTTTAAAAAATTCAGCGCTCTGAAGTCCCCTGAAATAATGGCCAAATATTTCATTCTAACAGTTCAACCTCTAACATATGCTTGAATTATTCACATTGGTAGAACATTATGTTGGCCATAATGTAAAATTTTTAAGTTTTATGTTGCATAATGGCCAACTCCAAACCAGAGATCTTAAAATTAGTAATTTAAGCTAAATAACCTTCCTGGGTTTTTGTGGCTTTTTTTTTCTTTATTGGTGATTAAGAGCATAAGTTTGGGGGACAGAGAGATTTAGTTTTGAGTCCAGCCTCTGCAACTCACTACCTCTAAGATGTTAGCAAGTTAATTAAATCTTTTAAGCCTCACTTTTTGCATCCACAAATAAAGCTAATAAGGTACCTCTCCATAGGATCAAAAGAAAAATAAGACAATACATGTAGATTTCAGAATAGAGTCCTTGCGATAAACACTTTAAATTTTTTTGACAATTTTGACAATAATAATGGTGACAATGATTGTTAACCTGTTAATTAAAATGATTATTTATTTTGAACTAATCAAAGCTAAAATTCAGTTTCTACTACTGCAATTTCCAACTTGGACTACAGAGGTATTCTCTCTTAAAGGGCTACTATGCCAAGCTTCCTCTCCTAGGAAGTGGCAATCCATCCTCTGACACCAACCAAATGTTTCTTTCACATCTCTGTATATGTCAGCACTTCCTCCTCCAACATGCTCTCTTTCCATTTTTCCTCCCATGCATAGCTGTGATCTTCAGGAACTCACTATGCCTTAAAG